GTGTGTGTGTGTGTGTGTGTGTGTGTGTGTGTGTGTGTGTGTGTGTGTGTGTGTGTGTGTGTGTGTGTGTGTGTGTCGTGGTGGTGGTGGCTTGTTTAATGCACTGCAGGTTGGCTCCTGCAGCAGTTCTGGCCAGATAAGAGCAGCACGCAGCTTTCTGCTGGGAGGGAGAGAGAGAGAAAGAGGGGAACATTTCTTCCTCACTCACATAAACCATTAAATTGTAATAATGGGGCCACCAGCGCTCAAACCTGGATCCGTAGCGCCCCCTGTGGGTGATTAGAGGAGTGACAGCACCAGTGACAGGGGTCCTTGTTGGTGGTTGTGCTGTGTTTAGGCTCCCTGCTGCTGAATGAGGCATTTTGAATTTACAATTACTTGGGGTTGATTAGATTAAAGATGCAACAACTATTTTCTTTTGTAATGTTTATGCATGAAGATGAGCAGCGAGTAGTGAGGGGAAGGAGAGGCCATTATGAGGAGGAAAAACTCCTCAGAGATGTTGGTTTTTTCCTCAGCATTTTTTTGTATGTGTTTTTCCTGCCTCCTACGGTGGCCGATAGGGGCAAGCGTGCTACAACACCCCAAAATCCTTACATTAGGGGAAACGCGCTGCATTTAAAAATTGATGCACATTTTTAAAACGCAAATGTGCCAAAACACATACAAACGAAAAAACATCTTCACCAACTTGACAACACATGCACAGCATTTCCCAACTTCACGAAACAGGTATTTTCCATAGATTTTGAAAGTGCAGTATGTTTTTCCTAATGTAGCCTAAGTGTATAAGGCCGTTTGCCCCTGTCAGCCACCATACTTATTACATTACATTACATGTTAGACGCTTTTATCCAAAGCGACTTAAATACTCAATACTGTGGGCAATCCCCACAACAACATGCTGACTGCAGTGGGGTTTGAGCCTGTGACCATCTGATCCCCATACCAAGGCTCTATCCACTGCGCTACACGCCTCCAACTTATGGAGCTGAAAGAGAATTTAAAGGAGAGCGTGTTTGTGCTTGGAAAATGAAGGTTCAATAACTCAATATTGACATAGAATGTTTGTTAAGGCCCTGTTTGGAGCCACTGTCTTATGTCAGGAAGTACAAAACACCATCTTTGTGCAAAGGACTTACTCAAGCCACAGGCTTGATGGTGGTCCACACACACTGCGTTTAAAGTGCAAGTGACGTGTGTGTGTTGTCCAAAGCCTGAGGCTGCACGATCATAACATCTGAGTTTATCCCTGCGTCAACAGAGAAATACTGATTGTGGGGGACGGAGAAAGGGAAAGAAAACAGGGGTCTATTTGCATTAAATGAGTCAACATGTCAGTGTGAAAAGTACAATCCGTTCCTATTCTTACTCTCCGCCTCCACACACAAATATGGGATCTATTTTTAGCTATATCAGTTACAGACCAACACAAAGAGACCCCCCACCTTTTTCTCTCTCCAGTTCGTTATCAATGGGAGCCCACTTGCTGCCAAACTCATCCACTGCACACAGAGCGAAGGCCAGGCCTGGTCAAGTTACTGAAGTGGCTCTAGTGGGCAATGTTTCTCTCTTTACCTAAAGTGTCTGAATGTATGGCACACAAATCAGAGCGCTGATCCAGCATGCACCTCATGTGTGCTGTGTGGAAAAGAGTCAAAGACACAACTGTGCACCCTCTGCCCACACAGCAGCTTGAGGGATTGACCTAAGAAAACAAAAAGGCTTTTGTTTGTCTAAACTTCTAAACTGATTCCTTTCACTCCACTGAAGTCTTGTACTAATTACCGTCACCTGTTGACACACACTCCAGTGTTAATGAGGAGTGTCAGTGCTGCCTTCAAAGACCTGCAGTGTGTATGGTGACCAGCAGCACCACACTTTAAGCAAAACAACTCCTGCCAAAACATCAGAGGGTAATGTAACACCCTCTTGTAGAGAAGCTTCTCTCCTTTGATTATGTGTCACAGCTGACAACAAGGAGGCCTGTTTTGATATTTCCTTCTGTCTGTCTGTCGTTCACACAGCCAGCCAGCATGTTAGGCTAATTGGACACATGCACTGGAAGCTCTGTTGTGTTGTTCCTGGTTTGGCTTTCATTATGTATTCATGGTATCTGGTGTGTTTGTGAGGCAATGGCAGTGGAGCCAAAGTAAAGAAAAAAAGTACTGAACTGAGGGATTCTTGATTTAGAAGAAGCGTCTTAAATTAAGCTACAATGCTTGATTTGACATGTTATATGTTAAGTAAATCTGGCACATTTCTGTTCAAAAGCCACCTCTTTTTAACAGCTCTGCCACTTTTAATTCTTATTAACTGCATATGCTGTGTGCTCTGCATATGTGACCATTAAAGAGGGTTTCATCCCTCCAAATCTATCTATCTATCCATCCATCTATATTTTATTATATCTAAGTAAATGGTCATGTTCTTATTCTTGTACGTTGTATATTTCTTGTTAACCTTTTATTGATTTTCTTTCTTTATATTATAAAATGTATAATATTTTTGAAAATAGCTTTTAAAATAGTTCCTTATTTGCTCCTTTTCAACAACTTAGTTCCTCTTATTGTTTGTATTCCTCCATGATTATACACCTAAGCAAATGTGTTGTAGTTGTAAACCTATTAAGCAATTAACCTGTTTCCTATTTTTGATTCTTACAGGTTAGTGCAGACAGAGCAATGTCAAGTGTACTGCTATCATTTAGATTTATTTTAAATATCTCCTGGCATTGTACTATGTTTTAATGTAATCTATTCTTCTCAGTGAGTACAAATCAGCTATTCAAATTGTGAATAGATCATACAAATACCAAAATGTGTGCAGTGCGTGTGTAGTTGATCAAATGTCAACACTTTAGATGCAGAGATTTTGAATAACAAACTTTAAGTTATGATTTTATCCCATAATTGATATGCCGACTCACATGCTTCTGTAAGTGGTACTTTAGTTACATATGTTTTCTGATGTGACCATTTGTCATCCAGTCAGAAACTAACTTAATGTATTTTGTGGAGTAAATGTCACCCATTATTTTCTCTTGAGTATTATGCCAACCTCAGCTTCTTCTGTAAGTAGATATGTATTAAAAAGAAAAGGCCATGCGACAATAAAGAGACCAACAATGTCTTTAATCTCTGGCCATCTCATCTTCTATCTCTGTCATTAAATTGTATTGTAAAGACACTCCTCTGATGCTTAAACCTGTATGACTATTGATTGCATCACTTAAACTCAAAACAAGGCATAAATAACTTGTCTTGATGTTTTAAAAAACTCTGAAGCTTTGCTGCCACCAAATGGACAGAAACAATTATTACACATTCAGGATTATATTGTCATAGTGTTGTAAAGGAGGACAATTACCAAAGGTTATTAGGATTTTAATGATAGATTTCAAAACAGGTCAAAATGTTACAATTAGATGCTTTAAATAAACTCAGCTGAGTATAATATTTAGCCAAAAATATGTATTATGTTAAATATGTGAATATGTCTACGTTGCGGGGAAAGGACTTGACTTACCTGCAGCTAGCGTTCACAATCTCTAAAAAAGCCAATGCTTTTAGAATGAGTACTATTATAGAAGAAATCTATTATAAATGAAATTCTTCAGTTTTCATTTAACTATTCATCCTGCTATTCTGCTGTCTACATTTGTTTACTTTCTCTTTATTTTTCAGGATTTTGCTGGGTGTTTCTCAGATTGAATAATCAAGTATTAAACATGCACACAAAAAAATAGCATGTTATATATAATATTACATAACTTAAGCATGTAAGCATTACCAGTGCTTGTAAAAATAAACTCCTGAATAAAATCAAATGTGAGTTTTAAAGGGGACCTATCATGCAAAATGCACTTTTGTAAGTCTTTTATACATGAATATGTGTCCCCGGTGTGTCAGGGAACTCACCAAGTGTCAGAAAACACAACCCTCTCTCTTTTCCTCCATACCCAAATCGCTAAAAACGGGGCAGCAACGGAGCTGATTATTTGAATTTTTTTGACGTCAGAAAAGGGGTGCTCCGCCTATATGGGCAACTCTCCACCTATCAGGGGAATGAGAGGTTGCCGTGGCATGGTAACAGCATGGTAACATTACGTTTGTGCCTCGCCCCCCCTCCTTTGCAGGGGGGCGTGGTCAGATGCAGCTCATTTGCCACAGAATCAGCCCTTGCAAAAACAAGGCTGGAAAAGAGCAAATAGAGCGAAATGAGGCATGGCTAAAATGCATGATCTGTTTGGTATTTTGAAAAGAAAACTTCACAGACATGTTTTATATAGGTATGGCCCTACAATATATGTTTCAAATATGGCATGATAGGTCCACTTTAAATAAACTCCTATGAAAATGATCAATTATCATTCACTGTGAATATAAAGCCACACTGCCTTTTTTTAATAGCCTATATAAAGAAATTGTTAGGGAAAATACTGAATGTACTTGTTCAAGGACAGAGATGCACATGATAACGAAGGCCCAAGTGTGCAGTATATCAGTGTATATCGCAAGATGTATGATTACCTAGTAAGAGAACCATGACACACTGTTTTAGGCACATGACAAACTATGTGACAACAATTAACATGATTCAGCCTCTATGAAGATGGACATATGACAAGCATGATCATTTCTGACGTGGGTCTAAGGTAATCTGAACAAAGCATTGAATACTGCATTGAACCGGTATTCCTCCATCTTGTGACTGTGTAACTCCCTCTCTTGTATATCAGCATGTGAAGGACACTGTTCGGGGAACTAGTTGTATTATGATCTGTATGTGATGACTACTTCCATTCTTGCAAGGATAATAAATACATGTATCCTGTTTTGAAACTCAAGCCGGTGATGAGTGCAATTTTTCTAAAACAAATATACATGGTATTATTACTTAACTTATTGTTATACTTATATACCCGACAACCCTAGTAAGTATACTTTTGCATTTATTCTTCCTTTTACTGTACATACAAAAAACAATTAATTCTGTAATTTATTTACAATGAAAACACTTTATTTCATCATGTTGTAAATTTCATTTCATTGAAAATAAACAGACCAGTAAAAAGGAAACAATACAGTTTGAGATTAATATCATACTCCTGGTGATATCCTACTGTCAGTTTGAACCAGCACAGATATCGATTAAATGGCTTTTTAAATTAAGAGTCCTTCCTGTAAATCTTGAAATTGTCATTCATGATTACACATTCTAATCAATGTTTACAGTAAATAGTAACACAATAAAATCACAAGTCTACAGTAGAGTCGTGCCACACTGGCATGGCGGGCGGTTAAGCTAAACTATCGAAGCGTCACTTGCATGCACGGTTTATTGTCTCCATAGCCTGGATGAAAAGAAAGCGTTACAGGACACCAAAAGCACTGAGAGGGAAACAGAAAATCTTCTCTAAGACTGTGCGACTGTCAATAACAACGGTCTATGTTAAAAGCTTTGCATTACACATTGTTACAGGGGGTATGCTTCAGTGTGTGCTCCTAGGACATACAAAATAGTCAGCTATTAGAAAGCACATATAACAGCTAAGAACTCTCCAAGTGATATAAGAGCGATAATATGAGAGTAGTAATAATAATACAGTAATAGGTGCAATCCCCCTCTTCCAGCTAGGTATCTTACAGGTCAGGTACATTTGTATGATTAATGAACTGTACATGGCACTTCAAAAACACTTTTAACAGAAAACTCAGATGGATGATTCTGAATAAATAGATTAGAAAATAAATAAAGTGTTTATTTTGCTCATTCTCAGACAGAGCGTCCAGTTTTTAATCCAGGTTAAATTATTAGTATGTGTACTGTAATTGTAAACACACACCCCCCCTAGAAGTGTTTTGATAAATTATCAGAAGACACTGTTTTAGTTTTTGTAGTAAGTATGCCTTTGTTTCTCTGAACTTGATCAGAGCTCACCTGCAAATGTAGTTATGTTGTGAGGGAGAACATTTTTTTATTTAGAATATACCCTGGAGCACTCTCAAAGAAATTAGTCCATCTTTTATCAATCTTTCTTTCCTCTTTCTCATTTCTATTTCGATGACAACCCATTAACTAATCCAAACTCTCTGCGAGAACGAGGCAAGATGAACTCTAAACTAAATCCCAGTGTTTGTCTTCGTCTACTGTGAACATGAACAATTATTTGAAAACTGTACTAATTCCTCACTGTTCTGAGACAAGAGCTCTGATTTATTAATAAGCAATGAGCCGGCTGAGCATTGAAGATAATTTGAGGATGGATTTGGAATAATTTGGGCTGTACAAGAACATTTAAATGTTATCAGACCAACAAGACTGAGCAAGATTTTAAACGCCGGGAGGGTGCCATGCTCTTACAAATATGTTTTTAAAAACTCTGGTGACTGTTTAGAGTCCCGTGATGCGTTTGTTTCACTCCTGATTTTATATATGGTTGCCCTCAGAAACAAGACAGCAGCTCTCCCATTGGTCCTTTTCTAAACGCAGGTTTTGTTGAGGTCGACTTTCACCGGCAGCGGCCCCGCCTCCTGGCTCTCCTCAGATTGTTTCAGGGTGACAGCGATCATAGGACTCAGGTAGTAGGGGTTGACTTTCTGGGCGTTATCCAGGAACTCTTTATCTCCGTTGATACTAAGCTGAAAAGACAACCAATAAATAAGTTGTAAGAGTGAGAAACAGGCAGCAAGTTCACCTACATTACTTCACACCACTGTGTTTTTACTTTCCTATTTAGAGTGCAAAGTATGATTATTATGATCCATTAAAATAAAGCACTTTTTGAAAATAAAAGCATGTAAAAGAGGCACAAAATACATAATAGGGCCACTAGGAACCGTGCATCTACTCGAGAGGCTTTGACAACACCAGATGTAAACATTAACGGCATCCTCCTCAGATTGAGAGTAACATAAACTAGCAAAGGTGAGCCTCCTTCCTATTCTTCAAGGTAATATGCTATAAGCTAAGCAGATGTTTATTAGAAAGAAACTGCTCACAACAAGGTCTGAGAAGTGTTAAGACACTTTAAGTAGGCTTTGTTGAGCCTACTTTAAACTAATGAAGTCATTGCTTCCTTCAGAAGTATGAGTATACATTGGTTGGGTACTTTTCTCTGCGTACCTGCGTCTTAATGTGCTGCTCTGGTGCGGTGACGAGGCTAGCACAGCTGAGCCACAGCATGACCATGATGGACAGGAAGAGACAGGCCGCTAGAATCCACCGTGGAAGGCCTGAACGTCTGCAGAACGAAAGAGTAGGACATGAAAAGACACAGGAGTCAGGGGGTGAGATTGAAGATGGACAGAAATACAGAGAGAACTAAACATTAACAAATACAACTAGGTCAAATGTAAATTGTCTTGTTGAAAACACACTTTATAGGAGTGTTGGCACTGCAAATTCAAATTACTTAAATGACTTTTCCATGCATATAAGTGTTTTAGTTGTTGTTGTTGTTGTTGTGTATAACCTCACGCACATGCAGCTGTGAGTTTGCTTTATTTTCTCTTTAGTTTTGAAACATTGAGTTATATAATCTGTAATACCTAACTGCAATCCTTCATGTCGACATTTGTTATTGTCAAGGTTACAGAACCACCGCAAGACAATGCAATAGTAGATTAATTTAAAAAATGACATCGTACAATAATGAAAATAAAATAAACTTTAAGTCTCTGAAAGATGATTTTCCTGCTGACAAAAAACTGGAAATCAGATACTTTGGTTTCTTAATGAATCAATTGTCAATATGTTTGTGGTGCAAACAAATTGATATTAAGCAACCAGTCATGCCAACATTAATTACACTGTAATCCGAGTTTTTCAATTTGAACTGTATTGTAATATTTTATTTTAACTGTACTATGTATTATCTTATTGACCGGTACTTAAATCATGTTTTATAATTGTCTGTGTGATAGAGATTATGCAATGCTTTTAGTGTTTGTTGATAGTTATGTACCTGCCTGAGGAACGCAGATGGAAATTAGCTATAATCTGGCATAATTCATATCTTCTTTTCTGAGATTAATGTATTTGTATGCATGGTCCTTGTTGAAATAAATACATAATATATAATAGTATGAAGTATATTTTATGGGAAAAAAGCATAACTTGGTTCTTTATTCCTCAGCAGGGTAACCCAGCTCACCTCGACATGCAGCCCAGGAAGTCGTGCTCCGCTGTGGGGTCGTCTGCGTGCTGCACCGGGTGCTTCATTTTGCCTCCTGCTTTAGACGCTCCCCTCTCCCCATGTCCCCTCACACCTGCAATACAATTCATAATAAAACATTTGTAAAAACATCTTGCAACAACATACATTTGCTGCTGTATATGGATACAAGTGTGATGTGGGTACGTAGAGGCTAGGGTAGAAACCGATTACATGTAACAGGACTTCTTCATTAGGATACAAAAAACCAAACTGTATATCCTTACAGTTACCTTAAACAAGAAGTAATCAGATTAGTGTTACATTTTCTTTTCTAACACAGAGTGTTACAAATTGTTTTTGGGTTTTCCCACACACTTAACAATAACAGGACAATGCAGAGTACAAATGCAGGTGCTATATAAAAAAGAAATACAAAAAAGATGGCAAAACAATAATGATAATAACATAAAAAGATCATTACAGTAATAGCAATGACAAAAACAAACCAAAACACACAATGACATGAAAAGACAGAAACAGAAAACCCCTAAAACCAGGTGTTACATTTAAAAAAAAAAAAATAGGATTCCTAGGAGGATTACAATGTTACAAAAAACTAAAAAAGAGCATCATTTGTAGATTTTATTGAATCTTTGTAAGCAGTACTGTTCTGTAGGATAGTAGTTTGAGTGTCTTATTGAGGTGACTAAAAACAGGAAGTAATCAGGATTGCTTTTATTTTTTGATACTGATTACATCTTTTACATTTAACTAGTAACTGTAACAGAATGATTGATTTTGTATTGTCCCTCCCACCCTGTATATTCTCTCACCGTGGGGTCTCTGGGTGTGGGAGTGGACCTGAGGCCAGGGCTTGTCTGCCACGTTGGATCGAGGAGCCTGCAGCTCGGGCAGAGAGTACTCCATGTCTGGCTGGCTCTGAGGAGGAAAACAACAACAGAGACACTCAGCAATCAAGGCAGCAATTATACCAAAGTAAGTCAACAGCACAATTGACAGGAAATGGTCTGTCTGACACTGTGAGGTCAGACCACAAGAGGAGCACTTACTAAGAATAGCTGCTAAAGATGGACTGAACTTATTTACTATAAGACCAGAGGAGAGGCAAAGTTATACTTTTACACTTCCAAAATGACACTAAGGAAAAAAAGAAAAGTGAGACATTTAGAAAAACGTATGAATATTTTGAATTGTTTTTCTTCATGTCTGTATGGTAATTATAGAGCAAACCCTATTTCCAATAAGGTCAACACTATTTATTTAACAACATATTCATTTTAAAAAACAGTATTTTCTTACTGAGAGATTGACATTTATGACAGTTTAAAACATCTGATATTCAGTAGTGGTATTGATTTAAATGTTACACCAAGCATATAGTCTTTTAATTTTCTATTAGGATGATTAACATCAAAACTTGATACTTAAGTGCAACAAAGTTAGACGTTTCTCATCTTGAAGCATAACAGATGATTGTGAGGCAGCCAAGTTATTGAAATACATTTCGGTTGAAAGCTTTTAACATCAGCTAAAAGGGATTTATACTCCTTTGTTCAACATGCCGAATGAATCTGAACACTAGTGAAATGATTAATGATAAGGATGAGAATTGAATTTGTTGCATAACTAAATCTAACTGACTTTAAACTCATGATCGTCATCTTTTATTGTTGCCTGCTTAATATGTCCAGGAGTCCCTCGTTGTTTCTTTCTCACACACCCAAACTACTTTAAGTAAAACCCTTGAACTGGGACAGCAGTTTGAAAATTGGCTTTTAAAACAACTGTTTAACCGAAACGCAGAGCCTGCTGACAGTATTTGTTCCGTTGTGAGTTTCATTATGTGCGCAGTGTTTCTGGTCCCCCCTAGAGAACTCATTAAAAGAGGATTTTGGTTCCCCACTGCTGACCCTTCCTCCACTATAAGAGCAGCTGTAGTCGGCTCAAACAATACTATTGCTAGCCTCAGCAACACACAAACACACACACACACACACAAACACACACACACACACACACACACACACACACACACACACACACACACACACACACACACACACACACACACACACACACACACACACACACACACACACACACACACACACACACACACACACACATCTTAAGAGGAGTACAGTAAATCCCACTGCAGTAGCGTCAAGATCCCGGTATTTATCGATTCTGCAGTAAGTGGATCAATGAACTTCAAAACCTCTCGCTGTGTCTTGCGCTGTCATGTGAACCACAACAATGAAATCTGCATTTTCATTACATTACTTAGGATATGATTGATCTGCTTTCTTCTGAACGATTATAGTCACTGGTTCAGAAAAACAAAACAACACACTGTAATCGGCCGTAGAGACATGACTGGTTGGTTTGTTCCCCAAAACACTTTCAATCCTTTAAACCTCCTCTGTTGAAATAGCTGTTTCACAACCGGGTTTATTACCCCTAGCAAACAACGTTGTTTTTTTTGAGTGCATTGAAACCAGATGCAGCAGCAGTGTGAAGGGTTTGAGCGGCTGATTCTCATTGGCTGCAGACTGAAGGGATCTAACCATCACAACGAGCAGAGCCTGATCTGCATCTGTCATGCATTATAAGAGAGAGGGGGGGATGTAAAAGGTGCTCCGGCTTAAAGGAAGAAAGGAAGGAAGAAAGAAAGGAAGGAAGAGAGAAAGAAAGAAAGAAGGAAAGCATGAAATAAAGAAGGAAACAAGGAAAGAAAGAAATAAGGAAAGGACGAAAGAAAGAAAGGAAGGAAGAAAGAAGGTGGATTGGAAAGAAAGATTTAAGGAATAAAGAAAGAAAAGAAAGACAGGAAGGAAGGAAGGAGTTGCAGATAGAATTTCACTAAATCTCACTTCTCTTATTTTGTTAACTTTCAATCTGTTGAAAGAATCTGTGCGAGGGTGAAGTGAATATCAACGTGTAATGCAAAACAACTTTGACTGACTCTTAATCACAATTATAAACACCGTCTCTCCGAGGCCCCATCGAGCTGTGCATTAAGCAAATGAATCATCAAATAAAGAAACCTTGGGGAAATATATCAAGTTAATTGGACTTCAAGTTGGACTAATGGTGTCAAAATGATGGCCCTTAATTAGGAGACCCTAAATGAACTTTGATTACAGCTCTCCCATGTCGACAATTAAGACCACTTTTTATTTTTCTGGAGGTGTGGAACGTGGAATAGGAGACAGAAAATACTTTATGTTGAAATGATAATAAAACAACACCTATAAAAAAAGGGTTTAGAGGGACAAAAACCTCAGGATTAAAAGACAAGTCCGGCTATATTCTGTATTTCTCTTATTGTCAACGCATCTAGACCAAAACAACTGAAAAATGTATTGATCTTTATAATATAACAACTGATCTTGCTTCATTTAGAAAACCATGGGTTCTGTAGCTTATCATGGGCGAATCCCAAAAAACGTATACCTTCCGCCAAACAGTTAACGTACAGTAGTGCACCAAATGTAAATAAAGTAATTGCTGTTACCCACTGTTAAAAATGCACTTTTTACTCATGTTTGACTGATGTTGTTGTAAAAACTATACGGCCCACCTGTTTAGCCCTATTTAAAAGTGAATAAGTATACCTGTCTTCAGTAGGAACCATACTGAAGTAGTCACCGTGATGTGAGGTGTTGGACTACCGTTGTTATTTTCATTTTTGTTAGCCAGAAGTGACTACATTTTGACAAGATGATCTATTATTAGAACCAAACACGGAACAATGCAGTGGCAGCGACTTGTCAATCACAAGGTTGTCCCGCCTTAAAGCATAAAGAATTTGTTTTGTTTATGTTTACTCTAATGGGACAATAATTTACAAAATAAACATTATGCTGGACTGGAGGATACTTGAAACGAGTGACTGAGACCATAAACGTATTATCAAAATGTTTACAGAAGTAATAAATCAAGTGAGATATAGGTCCTTTTCTCATTGACTTTTCAGACCCCCCTTTGAAACCAATGGTATTGTATCTGAGAACAATAGAAACTAAGGTGGTCAAAGATGAACACCATACATCATGAATGTGTTTTACATACTGTATGTAAAGTGTATGCTTATGTCACCATTAGTGTAAACTAAGCTGAGAACTGACTTCCTTTACAGTGTAGCATCATTAGTCAGAGTCAGGTTTACAGCCTCACCCAGAGTTCACTTTGTTCTGCAGGCGTGCTCCCTAACAGAACGGGAGCTCAGTCAGAGGAAGTCTTCCATTAACTCACTTTTGTCGCACTTTCAAGGTCTGATTTGTCAAAAATAACACCAGGGTGCTGAAAAGGGAATGACTGAATGAGGTAAAGGGCTGTGTTTTACCAATGCTTCACAAAATGACAAGTTTCCTTTACTTTTTTCCGTCACTGGGGGACAACCCCAGCTGTGACCTAAAAGTGACTTATTCCAGCTTCACAATCTGAACACACTGCTGCCACTAATGTTTGTTTATGATGCACACAACCAGTCATTCTCACAACTTGAGGTCACACAAACACACACATGGGCGCACAGATGGATCTATAAAGAAGGCGCTTTATGGACATGCACATCATTTATATGACAGACAGCGTTGGGTTGCTTCCCCCCCCTCTGCTGTCCCTCAATTTAGCTGGACTTTTTCTGTTGTTTCAACACTCAGAAAGTCAATCTGTCAAATCCGTGGCTGTCTGCCAGCTGACCACTAAACACAGGCCTGGTATTCTTCCCACAGCCCCGTGGAGCCCGGCTTCTCTCTCCGCTTCAGCCGGCATGTCACTTCCACAAAGAGCAAACATCCATCACCACGTCCAAAAGAAATGTTGGTGATTTTCTGTGGCTGCTGCATCTCTATGTGAGGCGGAGCCCATCGTTTCTTATACCTAATAGTGAATTTAAGCATTGAAAAAGACTCCTATGATACACAGTAGCCCTTCTGTATGGGTTACGGTGCATAAATACTGTCATTTCCCTTTTAGCCCTTTAATTATGTAGCTAAAAATGCGATCAAAGTCACAAATGGGGAAAACCTCTGACAGGGAAGCAGGTTTCCGACCCATTTTTGGAGGATATGGTTGAGTAGTCTGGTGGTTAGACAGACCAAATCCTGTTATAGCTTTAATGTATAGGTGCTTTACGCCATTGATCTTAGCAATTAATTGAGTAGCCACGGCTGCAAAAACCTCTAAGTTTGCTTTTTCTAATAATACGATTTTTCTGGTGTACATCTGGATCCAGATCTGCAGGAAAGTGCTTAATCAGCGAAAATCGTCCATAAAACACAGAGTTATTTAACAAAAAGTCTTGCCAACAGTGCCAAAAAATAACCTCTTTTGTGGGGGTAATCATGAGCAGTTAATCTTTTTTAATTCCTCAGAAAAAGTTGAGATATTTATTTGTCACAACTTAAACTTAATCCTTTAGCGCAGTCCACTCTTCTAAATCTTGCAGTGAGTTTCTGTCCTGAGGCGGGTTCACCACAGTAAGCCGTGCCGCTTATAAAATATGCATGGGGCTAAAGGGAGAGACATAATTTAAAAGGACATTTATAAACAATTAAAGTGCTGAAAAACTGTTTGCAGCTCTCTAAATCTAACCACCTTGTCCCCACCCCGCTGTGTGCCCTTACTCAGTCAACCTTCACAGATACACCGACTCTAGAGTGGGCTGTGAGTCGTTCTGGCAGAGACCCAAGCTCTGCAGCATCGTACGGTTAGAGGATGTGTTTCACTATCTTAACAGGAAGCAGCTCATCTAATAATCTATAAAGGTTTATTCGCTTGCTCTTAACCTCCCGTCAAAAACACATGGTATGAAAAGGCCTTTTAGTTATCAATCTTATCATTTTCCGCCATCATGACTCATGGGATTCATGGAGATTTGAGTGTTTATTTGTCTGGGTCTTTTAAAGCAAAGCACTTAAATATCCAACTCTATTCTCAGCATAGATATTAAGAAGAAGCAGGACACAATATGCACTTAGTACAGATACAATTGAATAAAAAACGTTGAACAAGTTATGATTGTTGAAACATAATCAAACCACATGCTGATTACATTACATTGTTACTTTATGCATTGTGTGTGTGTTTATTGCATTTGTTGTCTGATGAGATTTGATATATATGGGTCAATGTAAGTGGACGTTGTCTTTCTTTTTCAGTTCAGCCACAGGAACCTTTACTGATCACTGCAATTATATATATATTTTGTTATCAATACCAAATAAAATAGTTGAACATTTGACAATGAGTATGAGCTGGGTTTAGTTGAGAACACCATCAGGTTTATAAATTGGCAATAGAGTGCATTTCGTGACCATTTCGTGACCATTTTGCAGAACATAACTGTAACCATTTATCTATAAACTAGACAGGTCAAAGATGAATGCTTTCTGTGAAACAGGAAACATATACTCCTAGAGCCCTACAATACAAAGGCCTGTTCTGGATAAACACTTAGTTTAGGTCTTACCTGGAAAACCACAACCTTGCCGTCATCAGCCTGCAGGTAGAAAGTCCAGGTGGAGGAGATGAAGCTCTGGGCGGAGCTGACGATGTCATTGCACCAACCGGACACGGCCTCCATCACAGAGAGGGACTTAGGGCGAAGAGTCATGGCCCTGAGCTGCAGAGGAGAGAGAATCAGAATACCTGTATTCGTCCCACAGAGGGGACATTTACATTGCTACAGCAAAAAAGAGCCAAAGACAGCTTCATGTTACCTAAAGTGTGCATATAAAAGTATTAAAGATAAAAGAAGAAAGAAATTATGATAAAATTATACACATCCTAAACACACTCTTTACGAGCAGTATTGACTGTGTGTGTGCCGTTTACACACATTTGTGATCTTAGTGATTTTACCACTCAGATGTCACTTTGGCTCTCATTGCTCGTTTGCAGTGTTCAGCGTTTCTCACCCTTCTCCTCTTGAGCTCAGGTTCAGAGGGTTGGCTGGCGCAGCCGGTGCAGCAGGCCTCCTGCTCCAGCTGCTTCACGTACGCCTCCTGACAGGCTGGAGAGAGAGGCAGGGAGGTGAAGGGATTGTTATGAAGCATGAAAATAAGAAGCATGATGGTAAAAGAAGTAAGAGAAGAAGAAGAAGGAGTGCACAAATGCAAAAAGGGCACTAAACAGAGTTGGCATAGAGCACTACAGTGAGTTTGCTAGAAGATAAAAGGAAAATAATATCAGGTACTGGCTTCATATGTGGGAAGAAAGATCAAGATGCAAGTGAGATTTATCTGTTGGCCTCCGTGGAGATGAATCGCTCCACGTTGCCGTGATTGAAACAGGGAGCAACGGGGCATTGGCTGTCTGGACGGCAAATCACATCATTGATTTCCAATAGAGAGGTTCAAACCGAGCGAAGGAGCCTCAAACACCCAGCTTTTAGGAAACAGTGCAACATTTTCATTTGTAGGTCAAACGAGTCAAAGGGACTCACTCGTTCAAGGTCTTAAGAAACAATTTCAGTAGAAACAGCATAAATATACCTTTTAACCTTCACATTACTGTGTCTTGCACAAACCAAACGTATGTTTAAGTGAATCACATGGCTAAATGTAATCAATATATGGATATTATATCAATAGTGTGATATAAAACCAGATATTGTCTGGCATTTTGGATATTGTAATATGCCATAACTGCTGGTTGAAATGGTGAATTGCAGAAAAGTGAAGTGATTATCTTTACCACTAAGGCATCATATCAACATTACTGAAGATTTTTTATTTTATGAAAGCATGAACAGTCAACCCTATAATGTTGTTGCAGTTATTTGGTAAAAATATATTTAGATTTAATTTTAGGTGGATTCAGTCCGCTGCCATTCATTTTTACATTTAAGTATTGAGGCCTCAGCAGCGTACACTTTTGGCGCTGGCCCTGCTCAGCATGTCATGCAGACAGACAGGGAGACAGACAGACAGACTGACACTGACTCACCTCCCTGACACTCCTCCCTGCTGGTGTTGAAGCCGGCGTTGCCATTGACGAACTGGCAGATGGAGTAGAGGCGACAGCCGCGGTGACAGGCGTTCATTATGGAGTCCTACCAGTGGACAGAAAGCAGAGAGGGAGATGCAAAATTAGAGATGTCTCTGGCACTCTTGGATAAACTCAAGATAGGTTTGTTAGAAAACATGATGGGTTATGGCATCTCCTAATGACACGTTGCAGCTTTTAAATTACAGCCTGTCACAAACAGTTGATAAAACTGTTCACAATGTGCCTGTTGTAGGAAACAAGTGCAGGAATATGAGGTGGTTATTTTGGAAAATGCACATTATTGTACTTTTTACAATGCATTAATTATGGTTTTAGATGAGGAAACAGCGCCCCCTGGTGACCTCTCTGGGGACAGACGAGACAAAGAGATTCCCTGACCACGACCATGAAGGATTTATTACAGCCTTGTGCTTGTCATCTTCATCACAGCGTGTCCCTGTGTATTCACAGAGGGGTGTTTATCTCCAACCATAAAACGGTGCCTTATTGTTTGGATGCACTGCATATTCAACCTTTCTTTAGCTACTGCCCATATGTAGGTTTTCAAATCGAAATATGCTTCTTTAATCACAATCTTTAAAGCAGTACACTCTGATCTGCCTTGCAGCTTTGCCCTGCAGGATGCCAGAACCACACCTGAAGGCAGCAGAGTAGTAGGAGGAGAAGGAGGAGGAGGAGGTGGGAGGAGGAAAAACATCCGACCCTGGAAATCTAGGCAATGCTCTTAACCACAGAAACTCCTGGTGAAATTCACAGCCATTATGTACCGTCCTGCATGGGGTCTAGTCCGGCCTCTTCTAAGATGCTGTGTATACTGAGAATAAAGGATTGCTTCATGCTTCATAACAGCCTCACTGACCCTCCTCCACCCTAAAGTATAAATGCCCTGCTTGATCTTAATAGCGGATAAAGGAATGATCAGTTATTGGCGCAGTTTAAAGCAAGTACAGCTGACTGTGTGCAGTTCACTTCTTGGACGACACTGTAAGGTGCAGAAAGAAAACGAGCTGCAACCATCTTTCGGCCTAATTGTGCGCCGTCGCGTCCAAGAGGATGCAGCGAAAAAAAACAAAACATCTCATTGCGCACGGACATAAACGCATTTATTTTATATTGTAAGATGTAAACATAGTTTTTTTCGATGCTGAATATTTTGTAGTCTATTCGTCAGTATGTCTGGCACTGAATCGTCGGACAGAAGGATGCATCTCTCTCGCTGCTGGTAATGCGCTTCCTGCAGAGACAGCCGACAGTACAAGAGGAAGGAAGGAATAACTTACTTTAGCTGGGCTTTTGTTTTTGATGGTGAGCTGGCATTGCTTTTTGCAGTAATTGATGTCGCCCAGTTGGTTGTCAAACAGATCCGAAGACGCCGCAGCGATCCCGGCGAGAAGCACCGAGAGCAGGGCGGAGAAGCCGCACATCTTTCCGCCGAGCCGGAGCATCTGTAACCCTGGAGAGGAAGAGGAGGAGGAGGAGTGGAGAGAAGAAGAGGTACAACAACCAGCACTGAACTCCCTTTGTGGCGCTGCTGGTGCGGATGCTTTGCTGCCTCAGCCCGGTGCTCGTATGCTCCAAGGATCTGCCTCTGCTCGTGGCGTCACAGCACGCATCATCATCACGCACAACGCCCCCCAAACACACACACACACACACACACACACACACACACACACACACACACACACACACACACACACACACACACACACACACACACACACACACACACACACACAACCTGCAGCGCTGCCTTCACTGCAGTGCACAATGTGGCAGTGATGACATTCATAAAATGTGTCAGATAGTAGAAAAGGAGCAGATGTCCAGCACAGAGCTGACAGATGGAGCGTTTGTTGGAGTATCGACAGTTCATACATAATCAATGTGATATAGATGTAATGTAGAGATCCTGCTGGAAGTGTGGCAACACATAAGAGATGAGGATAGATTAGCTTAACTGTTCAAACTATATTGTATGTGTTTATTGATTTGGTCTTTTAATCCTATTTAAACAATATGTTATAAGATGATACAATACAAAGACCTTCACTTACAAAACATACGTATAACCCTATAGAGCAAAAACTGACGAAACAAGTTGTTTTGTTGGTTGATGCATTCAAGTATTGCTGCTGTGACAAAACAATTTCCCAAATTGGGATCAATTAAGTAATTTAATCTAATATTTTGCACATTATAGGAATATTCTAAATCCTTGTTTCAGATTCAGTGAAAACAGTCAGTTAAAAATAAAAGGCATAACATGTTAATAATAATAACAATAATAATAATAATGCATAACATTTTTTATTAGAGTGCTTTTACAGGTGCTCAAAGCGCTTTACAATTACATATTACACATATTAGACATGTAAATGTCATTACTGTGGACATTACCAACAGGAGCAAATGCGGGATGAAGTAAAACGACATATTAATAATGTATTGGATTATTTTTTATATAAGCAAAATATGTAGCAATTTCCTAAGAAGTCAAGCTAATTCCGATTCATTCAATAACAATAAAGATTATCGAATTGAAGTATAGTAGTAGTTCATTATTTGTACCCTATACACATCATTTATGTATGTGTGTACAAACTTAATGTAATTGAGTGGATGTAAGAAATATAAGTATAAGTAGCATAGAATGGTAAGTAGGCCTACCTTACATTTCCTTTACTCTAAGTACAGTTCTTTAGTAAATATAGCTAAGCTCGATAGATAGAGATAGATAGATAGATAGATAATAATAATAATAATAATAATAATAATAATAATAGATTTAATTTGTTAGCGCTTTTACAGGTGCTCAAAGAATATATAGTTAAAGTTAAAGTCAAATAAAACAAAAACAATCACACATTAAAAGCCAGATTGAAGAGGTGAGTTTTTGTACGTTTTTTGAAGGTGGTGAGGTCAGTGCAGTCTCTGATAGATAGATAGATAGATAGATAGATAGATAGATAGATAGATAGATAGATAGATAGATAGATAGATAGATAGATAGATAGATAATGTATTGTTATGCATGACCCTTGTTGAATAAAGACCCTATAATTGTATTGTACAAGTTTACACACTACTTAGTCTCTTGGAAAACAACCTGGAAACCCAACCTGTGTGTGTGTGTGTGTGTGTGTGTGTGTGTGTGTGTGTGTGTGTGTGTGTGTGTGTGTGTGTGTGTGTGTGTGTGTGTGTGTGTGTGTGTGTGTGTGTGTGTGTGTGTGTATTTGGTATTTGTGTGTGCGCGTAGCACTAATGACTTGTGTGACTGAGGGGGAAAACAAGGGAGGAGTAACATAGTGTTACAGCAGCAGCCGCAGCAGAGTCAAAGGAGTTAAAAGGAAGCAAACCTCGTGTCTCCTGCAGCCTGCCTGCACTCACTGTCCTCTCCAGACTTCCAGTGAAGAGCCGACATTTGGTCTGAGAAGAGCCGCTGGAGAGTGCCTCTAACCGGCTTCATCCTCCAACTTCCCCCCGCTGTCAGCTCGGAACTCGGAAAGAACCGAAAGGGAAAACAAGTTACTGAAAGAAGCATGTTTTCCTTCATGTTTCTGCTCATGCTAGTTCCACATGAGCTGCTGTCCTCGACGCGTAAGTACCAAACTTTACTAAACCGTCATACGCGCTACCGGACATTACCGCGTTTCAGTCGGTGCTCACCTCAGGGTATGGGAGGTTAACCGTGTCGACTTAAACAACAGTCAGCTATAAAGTAATCAAGGTTTCCCAGAGGGAGCTGCTGTATGGAGGCTCCTAACCAACAAAACAACATTTACCTCTACTTAATAAAACTAGCACAAATAAGGGTAACTTTTTTCACAATTTTAACATGGCAAGATGCAATAAATACCCACCAGATATAATTATAATTGGCAACCACACAAGAACGGCCAATGCGTATTAGATGGCAATTATCTTATAATTTGTCATTTTATTTTGCGATATTGATATCTTTATTTAGTAAATGTTTATGGAAAATAGTAGAGAAAGTGTTAATGGTTAAAATTACAAAACAAGAACATCAGCTTTTGTATAATGTTACGATTGAAGTACCAATCAAATCAAGAAACTTTGACAACACGTTATTGCAATAATTAATGTCTGATCTAATGACATTTTGAGACCACTATTGCTAGTTAGGCAGTTAATAGAATACCAATATTATGTTAGTGTTATTATTATCTGGATAATAGCTGAATATTTTTGCAATTTCAATAAACTTCTCAGTGCTCTCTGGCAGACAATTCATGTCATAAAAACATTTTATAAATCACTGCAAACATCCGTATCAATATTTGGCTTCTGCAAATTATTGTTATCGATCAGCTGACATATATGCAATATATATGTGCAAAACACTAATATTTGCTATTAAATTAGGGCTCTTTTAGGAAAATCCCATTTCTATACAGTGATTAAATACAAACAGAAATATTTATAGGGAGAGCTAAAGCTACCTTCTTTGGCTTCTAATAAAAAGACAAATGTTTATTGTCTCATGACCATCAAATTAATCAACCCTGTTGCTTATTTATTAGTGTTAAAGAGATTGCATTGTAACCAACTAATGACACAGTGTTAACACAAATGATAGCCTTGTAAAAAAAACAAAATCCAGATCCAGTGACAACACATGGAAATGAGAGTAAGGATTAGCTGATTGTTTCCCTAATTGTGGATTAGACTAAGAACAACACGTATTAGGCATGGTGGTGATGGAGCTGAGGAGACAAATTGAAATCAACATTGTTCATTAGCGCTGTTGCATGAAAGAAATGGAGTCATTATCATGCAGATGTTTATAATCATAAAACTGAGATAAACAACTGCAAATAGCTTCTGTATATGTGGTGAAAAAAACATGAAAACACATGCATGTTTGTAATTGTTCATGTATATATTATACCTTACATCATGTTTGATATTGAATCCCACTAAGACCCAAAGGTCAAAGCTCTTACTTTATGCAGATACAGTTTTCATATCTGTACATTTATCTTTATATTATCTGCTACTGCATCCAGCGCAGTGGCACATATGTTGGAAAGCTTGTCCACCGCCCACCTGGAGCATCATACACATTACCCCTGATATCTCTGAGAAGAAGGAGCCCATTGGTAACATTGAGAGCAGAGGGTTTCTCAGGGGCATCAACGAAAACTTAAAGTCTATGCAGGGCCGTGGTATGGAAAAGTATTCAAGGATTTAATCGACAACAGGATGACCTTTCTGAGTGATCCCACTGAGGCTCCATAAATCTACTTCATTACCGGGTCATAAATATGTGCTGAGCTCCTGCTCTCTGTGGTGCTGCAGTGCTGCTGCCGCACTCCCCCTCCTCACACAATGTTCCTTACTGCTGGCAACAGATTTGGGCACACTGTGTTTAATGCTTTAACAAATCAAACGTTACAGAATAATAGCTACCCAGAATATAGTGCAAGCTGTTATGGAGTGTCAAATCAATGAAGATTAAAGGTTGAGAGGGCTTAAAAACTCAAATTTAAAATGCATTGTGTTTCTGTCGGAAAAACAATATTAGAAAGTGAGCTGTTTATTTTGGCTTTGGGTGACCTTTACAAGAAAAAGGGTGGAAGCAGAATCAATCATGAACAGGCATTTGTCTTCTGGACAGGCTCATCACCAGAGATGTGAAATGAGAGAAACAACAAAAATAAATTCCATTTAATAATGTAGTCCAATTAATTGATTCAACAAGATTATTCAGTTTGTAATTAATTCATAATTTCAGTCATCAAATAAAAAATGCAATATGTCTGCAGCTTTCAGTCTCTGAAATGTGTTATCATTATCAGCTTTTCCTAGTTGTATATATATTATTGTAAGATGTGTGTCTTTTGGATTGTCTCATCTCCTTTGGCAAGATAACACAAAGTGTCGCACAGAGTAATAACAATAACTTGTATATAGACTCGTATTGCACTATTCCACTTTTTTTTAAAACTATTTTTCTTTTTGTATTACTTTTAATATAGTATATTTTAATATTGTTTTAATATTGTCTGCTTATCTGTATTATTGTGATGCATTGTTGGAGAAGCCTGTGACCTAAGATTTTCAACGACACAATTACTCTGTAGCTATGTTAGTTTGACAATAAAGAACCTTGAACCTTGAGAGTGTTAAAACTGTTAAACACCTGAACTTTTGAAAGAACATACATCAATATTCCAATTACTGTATATAGACTATTCTGCACAGTTTCTATCATATTCTGTTTCTATTATATTCAATTTTATTTTATTCACTTGCACTATTTTATCTGTTTTATAGTGTTGCACTGTTGGAGGAGCCTGTGACCTAAGATTGTCATAACTACACTGTAGCTACTGTATGCACACAATGACAATAAAAGCCTTGAAACCTTGAGAATGTAAACAAGGAGCATTTGAATACCATACATGTGTGTGTCCTCCCTTAGATCTGGCAGTGATCTCCCCTCAGGACCCCGTGCTGCCGATCGGCTCCAGCCTGACGGCCACCTGCACGCTGGCCCCGGGGCTGGGTCTGCAGGCCGGCTCTCTGTTCTGGACCCTGAACGGGGTGAGTGTGTGCAGCAGCAGCTACAGCGTGCTGAGCCCCGACACCCTGAGCGT